GAGAGAGAGAGAGAGAAAGAGAAAGAACCCCGTACATGCGCACTGGGTCAAGCGAGTTCCGAAAGGTGGGATCAGATTGACTTTTCTTGTTGTATAGTTAAGACCGTGTGCTAATCCGTCTGACATTTCAGCTTCCCACACTGACGAGAGACAGTGAGCCCCCTAACTAGGTGTCTAATTCATACAGCAACCGTGACCTGTAGACGCCAGACGCATCATCGTTTGCCGAGGTGCGGGGGTGTGTTCAATTTGCCACCCCGCGCTATTTGGCATCTTTTGTTCTTGCGCTCCTTTTCTCTCAGCTCCTTTAACATTTACCCACAACGCAACGGAATATCCTGTCTACAGACTGCGCTGCAACTTGAGAAAACCCCATTTTTGTCGAAGAAAAAAGTATGTCAAAAGTAAATACCGTATTTGTAAAGAGGTCAAACAATACTTTCCCCCTTTTTTTTTAACCAGAAGAACTGATTTGACCACCGTCCTTGATCTCTTATACATTACTTTTGAAAAAGAAATGGGATGGGATGAGTATATAAGCCCGCTGCTGCAAGGAGAAGTCGTTCGCTTGCTCTGAAGGAAAGTCTGGAGTGGACTGCTCAGAACTAACTTGACGTTCCCACACAGTCTTCTTCACTTCTGCTGCTGCCAGAGACGAAACAAACTGCCCAAAATGGTAAATATGCTCGGAAAATAACTCATCTTTATTTCTCTTGTTTTACAGACAGTTGTAAAGCTAATGGGTAATTTAAGTGCTGAAGGTTAGAGGAACCATAAATATGGGAGTAACATACAAAGAAAACAAGGAGGAGAGCTAACGACAATAGAAGTTTGATAGAAAAGAAGGAGTACACGATACGAGACAACCCACCAACTATCCACAAAAATTGATTTACATTAATTCAAAGTGTTCTTTCAAATGACAGCCGTTGTATTTGATACTCTTCAGTTCATAAAAAAGACAAGCGTTGATGTTGTGGGTTAAAAAAAAAAAGTATTATTACTGTTCAATAACCAAAGCGTATTCCGGTCGCGTTGGTCATCGTGGTAGTCGAGTGGTTGGTCTACCAGACTCGTATTCGTGAGATTGTCGATTCGAGGGTTCGAGGCTCAGCCCAGTCCAACATTGTGCCCCTGGGAATAGTAGGACAGTCCCTTAACACAATTTTTTTAATTTGGCTACGTACAATCGGAGATGGACGTTAAATTCGCGTGTTCTGCATCTTCTTATACTATAACAGGACAATGTTGCAAGGGGCGTTAAACCTATTCACTTTTCCGCAGATTGTATTGATTGATTCCAAAGACAATTTTATTTTGAGAATGTTCATTTGAAAATGAGTTACGGAACGCGCTTTTAAGAAAAGAAATCAAGTAAGCACTTTCTGATATTTGACAAATATGAGATACTGGTTAGAATATTGTGGGAAAAATATTGCTTTCTGAATCTTAGGGGAAAAGCCGCAAAAAACCGCAGTATTGACAAAAGCATCATCGTTTATTCTCTATACACCGATAATTATTTTTTTGGGAGGTTACTTTTCATCACACTTTTTGTTCATTGGCTAATAATTGATAATAGGTATAATCCGGTTATATTTCAAAATACATAAACAAAACAAAACAAAACAAAAAATCCCAAAGCAGAGTGTTGTTTTGTTTTGTATCATACGACCTCCACTATGATATTATAAGAGCGTTTCCATGGTAATGAATTTGATAGACCGGTGATTGTTGTGCAACTTAAAACTTCAGCCCCTTATTTGGAACTGATCTGACCAAGTACCTTCACGCT